TGTGTGTGTGTGTGTGTGTGTGTGTGTGTGTGTGTGTGTGTTTCTCCAAAAATAAGACCATCTTATATATTTTTTGCCACCAAAAAAGGCACCAGGTCTTATTTTTGGGGGATGTCATCCACTGACTAGCCTCACTTGCATGCGTTGCCCCCGGTCTCCTTTTCAGTGTCAGAGGCCTTCAGGAATTTCTTCTTCTGTGGCCGGCAAGGCTTTCCTGAAGGCCTCTGCAGATGATAAAAGAGCTTTGGATTGATCTGAAGCTTTGTTCTCAGCTACAGAGGCCTTCAGGAAAGCCTGGCCAGCCTTGCTGGCTGCAGAAGAAATGGGCCAGTGAGGCAGGTGTTGGGGTGTATGAGGCCTGGCTACAACTGTCTGAAGGTAAGTAGTAGGGCAACTCCACCCCACCATCTGCACCCTAGCTTAATTTTTACCTGTCCACCCTGGAGTGGGCGGGATCTTAATTAGGGCTTATTGGGGGGGGGGGGTAAGGCTTATATTGGGCTCACATGTAAAAATCAAGCTAGAACTTACTTTCAGGGTAGGTCGTATTTTCGGGGAAACAGATTATTTATCAAAAGGGAACAAACAAGGAACTTGGAAAGAGCAGAAACTGTTACTGGCTAAGCTTTAGTTTACTGGTAGTTTGGAACCACTTAGTTGTTCTGCAAATTAAGTTGTTGTTCGGTGAAGAAACTGAGTTGTTCTGCAAAGTGGATTACTCCAGGGAATCAACTGAATTGTTCTTTGAAGGTAGCTTTTATGCTCCATAATTAGCAAACAAAATTTCTAGATGATTGCTACAAAGATGAACTTTTTGACTTTTTAAAAACATAAAAATGCATAGTGGTCTTTCTATGAATTATTTTGGTTGACTGCAAAATCTGCTTCTAAAGTGTAATATTTTGTTTATAACTTTACCAACTACTTTGGACCAATTACTGGCATTTTAGCAACCATTCCTACTGGCAAATTCTCTATGAACCATTATGGAAAAGCTGGTAAGAGATTTTATAATGGCAGCTGCTTAATTAAAAAATAAATAAATCAGAAATTACATTCACACTGCCCCAATAGTTTATTTATGGGAGTGAGGGAAATGAGGGTGAGGTGGGACTCTTTTAAACAAAGAGATATATAATATTTTCCTTTTGTACTAAGTGCATTTTAGGTGTATTATGCAAAGTAAATTTTTCTTATCTAAAATAAAATAGGAATGCATGAGACCTAAATTCCTAAATTCAAACAAAGAGGATGAACATATAGAAGTCAAAATTCTTAAGAAATCTACTGGGGAAAAAAGAAAGAATGAAATAGTGCAAATTGAAAATTCACCTTTTGCATCCTCCTGCCCACCCAGGTGCAACGTAATTCACCTTTCAATGAACTTAATCTTTACAAAAGTCTCACAAAATATTTTGTTACCTTTAGAAATTAGCGCCTATACATCAATATAGATTTTTTTTAAATAAATTATTCCATCTTTTAAGTGCCTTCTATCTTCATATAAATGATAATATAGATATAATTAAAATAAAATGTAAAGCTTTCTCCCCCCCCCCCGCCATTGTACCCCTCTTCTTGGTCAAGTTTTAAGTACCCTGAATCTTGAGTGTTCGTGGGAACATGCACTTCAATACGAAAGCTTTCCTTCCCATCAAATCTCATTGAATGATTAAGATCCAGACGCAACGGTGGGATTTGAAGTTGAGAGGGGGGAAAATTATGCTCCAGATAGGATTGGGATGGGGAGGAGGGGTGGGGAGGAGAGATATGCATAGTTGTATGAAAGTCGAGGTGCTGCAAATACAGATGTACCTATGATCAAAGGAAATCTCTGATCCAACATCTGGGAAAATTAATAATAATCATAATAAAAGCATTCAAGGTCTCAGCAGAGTTCGGCGGCTTATGGATGAGATTCGGCAAAGCCGTAGGCCGTTCAGCTCTTCCTCCAGCGATGTGTTAGGTAGGACTTGTGTCCACATCCGCTTTACTCAAAGGATACGTCCTGTAGGATTAAGACACCCAGGAGATTTTTGGGTTTTCAACCACCGAGAAGCACACTGAGCTGAGCCATTACAGGCTGGAAGGGAGGCAGTGGACTGGTCATATCTGCCTCCGGGTTCATCCTTATAAAGCTGTGTGGTGAGCACACAGAACAGTTTGTGCTGTGTGTATATGTGCCTGAGTGTATGTGTATGCATGTGTGTGTGAAGAGAGATTTAATATGGCAGACTTGTTTTTTTTTCTTTTTTTTAAAAAAAATTGTTCTTTCTTTCTTTTTTTTTCTTTTCTTTCCCTTTTACGACTAAATCAGTGTCCTTCATGGCTTCCGATAGTTTGTGTTGTATGTTCAGAAAATAAGAATAATAATAATCACATTGACAGCAAGAAACGTGAAAGTAACTTTTCCCCCCCACAGCCCGCCCTGAAGCTTCCAAATAAGTTAGGATTAAATTTTCTTCTAAATACTTCTCCGTTGTGATCAGAGGTGTGGATCGGTGACTTTATAGTTTTTCCTTGGAAGGAATCCAGATGAAGGAATCCGATTGTTCTTCAATCACAAGTTTGGTTTGGTTATATATATCTTCTAAGGTATCTCCTTGGACAATTGCTAGAGGAAGGGAAACAGATTTTAATCCTCTTTCAGAAACAAAATTGATCAGTGTTTTAGTATTTGTAGGTCTGATACTGTTCTGACCTCGGCTTGCTGAAAAAGCGTTAAGCAGACTTTTTGTCCCGGTAAAACCCCTTTTATTAAACAAAGATGAATTTCTTGCATACACATTCAGCCAAAGGCCTGGCAAGCAGTCTTTCAAGGATCTAATTCGGAGCACAGACCTTATCTAGCTTGGAGAGCTGCCAAGTAAATATTTCCAAGCGCAGTGCTGACAAGGAAGGGCTCAGCACAGAGTCTGTGAGATGCACAGACAGGTCTTTACACTGCTGCAATGAACGAATTGTTTCCTGCAAAAGCCCCCTTCTCTTTCGCTCCTCTTTTAATCCCTGTGGGAGGGACCATTCACCGTCTACCCGTGGCCTTAGTCCTACAACACAGCCCTTTCAACAGTTCCAAGAAGGCTCCTCATCCATTTGTATCACTCAGGTGACTCTGAAGACACAAACAAACCTCCAAGCGGCCTCAATGGCTCCCTAAAAGGATGCAAACGACCAGCTGTATGCAAGGAATATAAATCTTTCCATTCCCCCACCATCCAGCCAGAGCTGAAGAAGCTTCTTGGATGAGAAGCAAAACATCTTCAGAGAAAAACCAGAAAGTCCAGTTGCCTCTTGAAAAAGCACATTTGGGACAACCATGACCTGGATGACAGAGAATCTCCATAGAGTTTGGGTCTGATTTATCTATTATAATTAATTATTTCTCCAGTTTGACTGAACACAGAGTGAACTGTGGCTTGAATGTTTAGAGAGCTGGGAACATTCAAAAGAAAGATACGAAGCTAGGCTGATTGCTGATCTCCTTCCTAAGGCAATTTGTACGTGGCCATTTTTACCATACTTCAGCTAGTCCTCGCTTACTGATCACTTGATCAGTGACTGAACTTACAATGGCACTGAAAAAGGAGACTTAGGATGGGCCTCCAAGCTACAACAATTGCAACGCCACTGCAACCATGGGATTATTGATTTGGGACTTTCACAGCCATCTTCTCGGTCAATGGGAAGGGCCTCAGGAAGCCATAGGTCATCATCATCACTTAGTGACAGAATTGCTGGTCCCAACTATGTTCAGTAAATGAGGACCCCCTGTATAATTCAGTTTCTCGTTATCCCCCAAGTGCCACCACAAAAAAGTAAATAAAAACAATGCAGTTCCCCTCCCTTTGTGAAAAATAAAGGAAGCCTTTCAAAATGCACCTGTAAAATATTCTCCAAATTCTTGTTCTAATTTCATGGCGCGGTCATACGTTTTCTTGGCCTGTTCCTCCGTGAGACGTTTATTCATTTCCCTGAAACAGATGGAAAGCTCAAGTAAAGGAAAGGGAGATTATATATATTCAAGGCACATTTCCTTCGCCCTTGGTGGAAATAAAAATAAAGCAATAAATATTGGTCCCAAATGTCCATAGCGAAAAAAAATAAAATAATGCTTCAGATAATTCAGCATGGGAGAATATAGAGTTTGTTATATTGGGCCTCTGGAAATTGTATTTATTGGCAAGTGGAGAAGATAGTGCACCCATTTCCTGCCTGTACTGTTGAATGGTTAAATTGCCGGACTAATAATGGGAAAGACCCAGGTTCCAATCCAGCCATGGTCATGGAAATTCAGGGGCTTGCCTTTGGGCCAGTCAGACAGGCCTACCTTGCAAGATTGTTGTGGGATTCAGACAAAAAGAGCCCCGATTTAAGTCATGGTAGCTCACTGTGTGACTGGATCAGCTCGACCTACCTCATAAGAAGGTTGTATGGGAGAAAAAAACATAGAGGCAGTATTGTGCCTGCTGTCAGAATAGAATAGAATAGAATAGAATAGAATAGAATAGAATAGAATAGAATAGAATAGAACAGAACAGAATAAGAAAGGAATAGAATAGAATAGAATAGAATAGAATAGAATAGAATAGAATAGAATAAGAAAAATAGAACAGAATAAGAAAGGAACAGAGTAGAATAGAATAGAATAGAATAGAATAGAACAGAACAGAATAGAACA